ACCCAGGCGCCCAAGAAAGAGCTATTCTTACTGTGATTTAAGGGTAGAGGAAACAGCATGGGCAAGAGCTCTGCAGCACATTATAGGAAAAGAAAAAAGGCCAGTGTGGTTGGAATGTAGTAAATGAGGGGAGCAAAATGGTAAGAAAGAAGAGGGGAGGTAGGCAGAGTGAGACCATGAGGGAACTTCATGGTTTTGGAGAGATGTTTGAATTTTGTATTAAATGCAATAGGAAATTGTTGGATGGCATTAAGCAAGAAATAAAAATAATTTATTTTTTATTATTTTTAAAAGAGCAAGTGAGAGAGTGAGCATGAGCAGGGGGAAGGGCAGAGGGAGAGGGAGAAGCAGGGTCCCATGCTGAGCAGGGAGCCCAGATGCAGGGCTCGATCCCAGGATTATGACCCAAGCCGAAGGCAGACGCTTAACCAACTGAGCCACCCAGGCACCCCAGCACGATCTAATTTAGTTTGAAAAGATTCCTCATTGCTTTGTGGAAAATCATGATAAGCGGTCAAGAGTGGGAATGGGGAGACCAGTAAAAAGTCATTTACAGTGGCCCAACTGTGAGGTAACGGTGGCCAGAGTGGAAGCATTGACAAAGGAGAGTGGTTAGATTTGAGGTCTGTTTGGAATTAGACGCATTGGATTTTGCTGAGTATTGTGTATGAGAGACTATAGGAAAGAGAGAGATCAAAGTTGGTTTCTAGGATTTTGACTTAAGCAACTGGAAAGAAGGTGTCACCATTTATAAAGGTGAACAAGATGCATCAGGCACGTTTGAGAGTATTGGAAGTTCCAGTTTGAAATGTTGACTCTGAGCTGCATATTGAGTTGTCAAATAGGCAGTTAAATATGTGAGTTTGGAGCAAGTTGAAGAGGTTTGGGATGAGGTTGAATATTTGTGAGTCTTTAGTGTATAGATACAATATTTAAAGCCAGGGAGAAGCAGAGGTAATGAGGACTGAGCCCTGGGATCTCCAGATAAAGGTCTTGACTGTGGAGGAGGAACCAGCAAAGGTGGGCAAAAGAGAGCAGTTAGGTGAGAAAAACTAGGGTTGGGAGGTAAATTTGATCTAGAATCTGAACAACAAGAAGACAAAGTAAAGAGAGTTTTAAGAGGGATGCCTCTGGATGAATGCAGTTGAGTGGGGGAGGGAGTGAGAGGAGATCAGAGACCCAACTCTTGTGTATTTGTTTCGTGAAGCTGCTGTAACAAATTACCACAAATTGGATGACTTAAAACAACAGAGATTTATTCTTTTAAAGTTCTGGAGGCTGGAAGTCCAAAATCTGGTAGGGCTGCCTTCTCTCTGTGGGGTTCTAGGGGGAGAATCCATTCCTTGCTTCTTCTAACTTCTGCTAGCTGTCCCAGCATTCCCGGGTTTGGACCACATTCCTACAGTCCTTACCTCCGTTTTGATATCACCTCCTTTTCTGTGCATCTCTCCAAACTCTCTGTGCCCTTTCTCAGAAACACTTGTGGTATCATTTAGGCTCCCCTGGATAATACAGGGTAAACTCAAAATCTTTAATTTGTCTGCAAAGACCTTCTTTTCCAGATAAGATAAATTCCAGGGATTAACAAATTCCAGGGATTAGGATTTTGATCTCTTTGGATGACCATTATTCAAGCTACTTAGTCCTTGGTTTTAGAAACAGGGTAGCCTTTGGAGATCTCTATAAGAGCAGTTTCTTTGGAGCAGTGGGACATAGGAGAATCCTATTTACCTTTCATGTTTGCTATCACATAGAGAACTCTATTGTCTGTTTCAAGACTGCAAGACTCCTTTCTATGGGCAATCAGTAGTTGTATGGCTGTGGTTAGCTTCAAGTTTTACATGTTGAACATGAGAAAGGAGAGAAGGTCTCAGAAGCATCTGCCAGTTCTTTCAAGTTGTGTTACTGAACTGTGTGATCCAAGTTGGCATTACCAGTGGCCATTATTTCTATAGCGAAAAGCTGGCTTATTTTAGATTTCATACATCTCTGTTTTGATTAATAATATCAGTAGCTGTATTATTTCTTTCATAACCTGATTGATAAGCACATTGCTGGGAAATTCCTATTCAGAAAGTGGAATGGATGTCAGTAAGATTTAGGTATAGTGGGTATTTTAAATTATCTGAAGGGAGAAAAGGGGATGCAGAGAAAAAGCCTATTTTGCCATTTTTTTTCTTACCAGCTTTGTGAAACACAGATGGTAAAACTGCACACTTGGTGCTGAGCTGCCCTCATTGGTTCTCTGACGCTTCGTATAATTCCTGCTGGACAATGGGAAGCATCAGAAGTGATAACAAATTACTTCTTGCTCTCTGTGGTACTTACTGCATGGACAAAAGATAGGGACCACATCTGGAAGAGGCTTGCTTTCCCGGGGTGGGGGGTATTTCTAGTAACAAAGAAATTCCTTCATCCTCAGTTCTCTTTCAGTTGGAACTGAAATAACTGGCAGCCTAAGGTTGCTTCCCTGTGTGTATATATATTTGGAGGGGAGGGCAGGTATTGGGCTTCCTCCTGATGAGAGGCTTTGCTTTCTCAGGGAGCCTACTTGATTACCATAGATTAAATCTGTACTTATGGGTCCATTTTCCTAAATTACTAGAGTGCTGACTCAGGATTTATGTGTACCCTTCAGCTTCTGTATTGGGGGCAGAGACCCTAGTATGGCATGGGGAAAAGAACACAGGTTTTGGAGTTAGCAGACCAGGTTCCTTCACTTACTTGCTGTGTAATCTTTGACAAATTATATACCCTCTGGAAGCTTTCCTCATTTGGTAAAATGGGGTTGAAGGCATCTGGTATGCTTACCACATACTAGCCATGTAATAAAAGTTAGATTCCACTATTATAATAACATCTTTTTGTCTTTTTATTAATTTTTATTCATATATTGATACTCAGAATTTCCTTACTGCCTTTGATGTCTTTGTATTAAGCAGAATCCTTAAAGAGATTCACCTGTTAACATAGCATCTCTTTTGGGGAAAGAGAAGCAGTGGGCCCCCACCTCCTATTCCCCTCCCCAATTTTGTCACTATGACAATTATTTGCCATTAGGTCTTGGGTTCCAGTACATTGGAAAACAACCATAGCCCTCAGGGAATACTCCTGAGGGAGGCTTCCTTAATTATAGAATTTACTAGGGAGAGCAGAAGAAAGTTGGCTTGTTCTATATAGGAGCACCTCTGGGCAAAGACAAGGAGGGGAGTTGCTGAGGAATGAGGCTATAAATAGGTCAGCTTATCTAACACAGAGTATTCTAGGAGGTTTGGGGAAGAAAGCTCTAGGAATGAGTCCACTTGGGAGAGGATCAGGAAGGGAAACAGCAATGAGATAGAACTTAATAGAAAAGTTATTGATTGCCCACCATGTTGTACCTGGGCTGCTTTGTAGTGCAAGGTGCTGTGTTATGCTGCGAACAAAGGATGGCCTTTGCCTACTGGGTATTTACCCCTAAGATACAAATGTAGTGTTCTGAAGGGGCAAGTGCACCCCAATGTTTATAGCAGCAATGTCCACAATAGCCAAACCATGGAAAGAGCCATGATGTCCATCAACAGATGAATGGATAAAGAAGATGTGTGTGTACACACACACACACACACACACACACACACACACAGACACACTGGAATATTATGCAGCCATCAAAAAGAATGAAATCTTGCCATTTGCAACAACATGGATGGAACTAGAAGGTGTTATGCTAAGTGAAATAAGTCAGTCAGAGAAAGACAAATATGTGATCTCACTGATACGAGGAATTTGAGAAACAAGACAGAGGATCATAGGGGAAGGGAGTGAAAAATGAAACAAGATGAAAACAGAGAGGGAGACAAACCATAAGAGACTCTTAATCTCAGGAAACAAACTGAGGGTTGCTGGAGTGGAGGGGGGGTGGGAGGGACAGGGTGGCTGGGTGATGGACATTGGGGAGGATATGTGCTATGGTGAGTGCTGTGAATTGTGTAAGACTGTTGAATCACAGACCTGTACCTCTGAAACAAATAATACATTATATGTTAATAATAATAATAATAATAATAATAATAATAGGATGGTCTTTGGCCAAGGTCATGCATTTCCACTGCAGTTCCCCAGCTCTGTGACCTTGGGCGAACTGCTTGCCCGTCAAATGGAGATAAGACTGTCCTTGATTTCCTAAGATCCCTCAATTTAATAACACCTAGGAGGAGGTGGTAGGAACATTTCCTCATTAATTTAGTCATCATTTGTAACCAATCATATGATGTTACCTGATTGTAGAAATTTTAATGTGATTTTTTTTTAAAGTGCATTTTAGAAGCAAAGCAATATGGTAATACCCATCTCACGGATGGTGGGAAGATTAATAAGATAATGTATGTTAAGTGCCCATCAAAGTTAGTATTCAGTGAATTGTAGCTATTATTAACAGATGAAAAGACATGAAAAATAATTTGATTGGGAACCTCTGAAGAAAGAATTTTAAACAACAGGGTCATGATGTGACCAGGATCTGAAAATAGGACTAGAGTGAAGGGAAAGAAGATGAGATAAAAATTCAAATAACGTTATGGAGATACATGAGTGTGTATCTGAGTAGAAAGTTTTACTCTTTACAGACAAAATTTTCATTGTCTGTAGTGATTGTGGTATATGTTCCAGTGTGAACAGAGGGCATGTGGTAATCTTGTGGGACAGAATGACTCCTGTGTCATCTTCTGGGCATGTTAGAGTAATTCTGAACTTGCTGCTACATTATTTCTGAATTTGCTAATCACAAAAAGTAAAGCATTTGTTAACATACTGATAACAAAGTGTGTGTTTGTTTTTTGTTGTTTTGTTTTCATTTCCTTGTGGGAGAGGGTGGCTGATTAGGGACTTAGCCCTAGTTAATTAGTTCAGTTGCCTGGCCAGGAGATTCTTACTTACATTTCAAACATCTTTATGTTTTCATTAGAGTAATACTGAATTTTTAGCTCTTCTTTCTTTTTTTTCTTTTTTTTTTGCCCCAGGTCCAGCAAGACTATGAACCTCTGTTCCAAATGCTTTGCTGGTAAGTGCAGAAAAGGGTTTTTTATTTATTTTATTTTTTCTTCTTTTGATTGTTTTTAAGACGATCTAAATTATTTGGCCTTCCTTTGTGTTTATGCATGGGGTTTTGTTTTCTTTGCTTGTGTGTGAAAGTAGTTTCTCCTTACCAAGATGCTTCATATATTTGCCTAGGACTATTGAAACAGCCTTCCCTGAGTGAAATGAAATCGTCTGTGTACTTGCACCCAACAAACTTTACATAGTGTACAGTTGTGGGCATATAGTGAAACTGTAAAAACTTGTGTTGTAATAGGGTAATAACATTCATCTCTGATCTTGACTTGAAATATTAGTAGTGAATATTGTTTTTACCAGTGAGAATACAAGAGAAAGGATATTTTCATGTAGGAGTCAGGAAGAGAATCATGTTGAATTAGCTCTAGAATCCAGTCCCTTATTGAAATCACCTTGGGTAAATCACTTAATCTCTTTGGACCTTAGAGTCATCATTTATAACATGAAGTGCTTGGGCTTGATGTTTGCCAAGGGCCCTTTCCAGCCCCCAACTGCTGATTGGTTTACTCCTTAAATTTTGACTCCTTCATGAACTTAAACCTTCATTTTTTAAAAAGAATTTTATGTCTAATGATTTCATATAAAATAACTAAGTCTTTACTGAGATATGTTTAACCTTCCTTTTCTATTCATTTTGTCAAAAATAAAGCTGGACACTAGTTAAAGTGCTAAGGACAGATTTTAATCAGGAATTTATAGCCATAGGGAAGAGTTCAGTTTGAACTGAACACCACTTCAGTTTGTGCAGAGGTAACTGGGTATTTTAAATGGAGAATGAGGGAGTAGGAGGGATGCTAGCTTGGCTCAGTAGAGTCAGGGAAGTAAAAAAATTATGAAGGGCTTGTCAGTGTAAATGATGAATAGGTTGGTTGTGGCTACTAGCTGACTGTCCTGGAAGTTAGGATTCTGTCCTTCTACTGAGACTGAGGCCCTACCATTCCTGATGGTGACCTTTTAAAATAATGGCTTTCATGTCCTTGAAATAGGGACTCCTGAGATGTAGGAGATGCATATGCATCTCAAAGGGACAGAGGAAGGATTCACAGTTGCAAATCCTTTTTAGTAAATGGTCTAAGGAGGGGGTGGTCGGAGGCCTTGCAGACCGGTGTTACAGCTAGAAAAACTTTATATTCTTTTGGCAACCTTGAGCTTTCTCAGGCAGGCACTTTAAGAGGGGCTAAGGTCATCCTAGGGATGGGGCCTTGAGTTGTTAGAAAATGTGTTAGTGTTTGTTTAAATATTTTAATGATTGGGGAAGGGGTAGAAGAAACCATCTGTGTTAATAGTCTGTAGTTTTTATAGGTCAAGGTTGAGTCCTAGTTGAGAAGAGGGCTCAGAAGAGCCTAGCTAGAGATTGGTCAAGGAGAGAGAATCTTTGTCAGATTTCACTATTCATTATGCTATTTGGGCAAGAAAATAATCATAGTTAGGCTTTAGTCCTTGACATTTTTGCCTAAACTAGGGAATAGATGGGAGGGAGTTGGGGGAGTTGGGGAAGGTGGCAGTTTATATCTGTTAAAAGTTTGGAATTTGTCAAATACTTTAGGTCTTTAAAAGGAAAAAAATATTGGTAAGTTTGGTTTTTCTCCAACTTTTAACAGTATGTCTGCCATTAAATGAATGTATTGTGCTGTTTTACTCTGCATGTCTACAATTACAGATATGAAGAAACGCTTCCTTACTGGTGAGAGTTTAAGTTTTATAGTAGAGATGAAAGTAGCAATGAGACAAAATGTATATTAGATGATGACTGTCTCCACATGGAGCTAGCTTCCCCTTATAATTCAGTAAAGTGTGGCTGTGGGAGAAGGCCAGGCACTTTTGAGTTAAGGGGCTCACATCAAATACTCAAAAGAACTGTCTCGTGTCCCTAATAAATATAAAATTTAAAAAATTACCAGTGAAGACAGTTTAGCTGTGGTCTTTGTATTTCTTTATACTTGTTGTAGTTTGATTTTTTTATAGTAATAATTATTTATTGTTTCTCTGGTGATCTGTGTCCATTTACTCTTTATACGGCTTTGTCATTTTTGCTTTAAAAAATATTAAGAGGGTATTTTCAAGTGTGTAAAGAAATACTCCTTTTCCCTTCTTTATCTTCATCCCCATATTCTTAATTTCCTCAACATCATTTGAAAGGAATGACGAGTAACATCTGCTTGTGGAAGTAGCATCTGGGGTTCTTTTTGAAAAACACAGGAAAAGTCATTGAACTCTACAGATATATTTGTGGATTTTGTTCCTGTATGGAAATAGAGTATAGAAATACACTGTTGCAGCATTAGGTATGAGATGTGTAGGACAACATGAAGATTATTTTGGCCAAAACCACTGTGATTTTATTTTAATTTTTATTGTTATGTTAATCACCATACATTACATCATTAGTTTTTTTTTTTTAAAGATTTTATTTATTTATTTAACAGAGAGAGACACAGCGAGAGAGGGAACACAAGCAGGGGGAGTGGGAGAAGGAGAAGCAGGCTTCCCGCCGAGCAGGGAGCCCGATGCGGGGCTCGATCCCAGGACCCGCGCCCACCACTGTGATTTTAAATACTCCTTTAAAGTATACTATAAAGTATACAGTGTGCTTTTAAAGATGGAAAAATCACTTTAGAAACAGCTGCTGTGTCCCATTAGGTTAGGTATTTTTCAAGATTGCTTTTCAGAATAAATCTATGTGGTGAAAAAGTGAGTTTGTTGTAACTTATTTACATAAAATTGAAATGAGTAAAGACATGTTTAAAATCTTGTTGGGAGAGTAGAGTACTAGGTGAGGAACTGTGGGTGCTAGTTTATAGCTAACTTTGATAACTGTTTGCCTCTGATGAAATATTCTGTCAAATGGTGAGCATATGCCCCAGTAACTACTATCACTGCAGATTATTTTCCCTTTTCTTTATAAAAGATTCCTGGGCTGTTTGAAGTTGGAGAAAGGAAATGAGTATATGGGCAGTGAAAGTTACTAAAAAAACCACTGAATTGTTAATTTTGCCAGTAAATTGTATACCAAATAATAGTGTTTCTCCATATTGTTGTCTGTATCAGCCATTTGCATGAATGTAGAATACCAACCTGGCTGGATTTGCTGTTCCTAACAGCTTGCAGCTTAACCAACATTCCTCTCTTTGAAATGGGAGGATATTTTCATTTTTATTTTTTGGCATCTTGAGTCCTGGTTTGGCTTGGCTGAAATCATTTTAGGCCATTTGGAAATGTGTCCCGTCCCCCCCCCCCCCATGTGCAATATGCTACTTGCTTAACCTTTAAGTGCCTTTGACCTGAAGACCCTTATCATCCAAGATATTCTGGTGCCAGAATCACAAGGATATTTAAAGGAAGTATTCTCATATGTGGAATTTAAGAAACAAACAGAGGATCAAGGGGGAAGAGAGGTAAAAATAAAACAAGAAATCACAGAGGGAGAGAAACCATAAGAGACTCTTAATCAGAGGAAACAAACAGGGTTGCTGGAGGGGAGTTGGGTGGGGGGATGGGGTAACTGGGTGATGGACATTAAGGAGGGCATGTGATATAATGAACACTTGGTATTATATAAGGGTGATGAATCACTGACCTCTACCTCTGAAACTGATAATACATTATGTGTTAATTAATTGAATTTAAATTTTAAAAAAGTAAAAAAAATAAATAAATGAAGTATTCTGGGGAGTCACCAAAAATGATTCACTCTAATGTTATGATTTGAGGTACAGTGGATTGAAAATGCTCTTCTGGATTCTCTTTATCTGAGGTTATTATGTGGTCTTAAAAAAAAACCAGGAAAAGTTATATTTATTATAGTATATATTTTTTCCATTCTCATAAGTATTTGCTGTTTTTCTACTTAATTGTCAGCCCCCCTTTTACATGTTTAGTATTTTCTTTCCTTAAATCACAATTCTCTGTATTTTCTTGGAAACATGTTCTCTTAAAGACTAAGACTATCTGTGAGCAGAAGCAAGAAACACCTGCAGTTTGGATAAGGAATTCTCCCACCTTTGAGTTGATATATTACCATTCCCATTTGAGAGTGTTAACTTTTTTTTTTTAAGATTTTATTTATTTATTTGGCAGAGACAGAGATAGCGAGAGCAGGAACACAAGCAGGGGGAGTGGGAGAGGGAGAGCAGGCTTCCCGCCAAGGAGGGAGCCCGACGCGGGGCTCGATCCCAGGACCCTGAGATCATGACCTGAGCTGAAGGCAGACGCTTAACGACTGAGCCACCCAGGCGCCTGAGAGTGTTAACTATTTTTATATTACCTCTAAAGGATAAAAATCTACTTAACAGATTTGCAATTTATTTGAAGTTACAGAAAGAATGTCTAAACTATTGAAAAGAATGATATTTAAGCATCCTTGAACATGAAGTCATCAGTTCATCTTGCTACAGATCTTTGTAATTTTTAAAGCTATTTGAGCATCTTTTTTGGTGCACTGTTAGCTTTTCTACCCCCTTGATAATATTCTTTCATGCTCTCTTTTTCTTTTGTTAAATATTTTTACATTGTTTGTATAACTTTCCTAAAAGAATCAGTAAGTGTCTATAATAGAAAGCCACAAAATTTCATGACATGGTATTTATAGTTATGGTGAATAAAGACTTATTTTTTGGCATCTTTTTACAAAAGATTTATTTATTTTATAAGTAAGAGAGAGAGCACGTGTGCACGAGAGAGAGTGTGTGAACGTGGGGAAGGGGCAGAGGGAGAGAGAGAGAATCCTAAAGCAGGCTTCCCACTGAGTGTAGAGCTCAACATGAGGCTCTGTCTCACGACCCAAGAGATCATAACCTGAGCCTAAACCAAGAGTCAGATGCTCAATGGACTGAGCCACCCAGGTGCCCCTGAACCAGTACTTTTTAGTGCAGTTTTCAAATTGGGTGTTGTGGTTTATTAGTGGTTAGAGAAATCAGTATAATGGGTCATGATTGCATTTAATTAATT